AAGTTTACATTATGGACTGGAGGAGGGAGCTTCTGGGTTGTTTATTTCAGGTTGAACACTTTTTTATATATAAGTTAGAGATTTCTTTCCAGTGGAATTTTTGTTGGCATTTTTGGAACCTATTGGAACCCATTGGCAAAGCCATAGGCTGTAAGGGTCCCATTCTCCATTCCGTGCAATGGTGGAGATAATAAAAACTGTGATTTCTATTATACATTTTAAAAAAAATTTTATTGCATGAAATAATTCTCATATTGAAAATTACAGAAAATTATATAGCAGACACCTTTTGTACCTGGCAATGAGAATAAGCATATAAATAAATGTTTAATTTTGCTGTTTCCTAGAGATTTTCTTCTCTCTTTCTCAGGCATTTCAGACAGAGCTAAAATAGTAACCCTTGCTCCTTCTTTTGTCATTCCCAAGTAGACATCAACTTGGGAAGATCCCATGAATGTCTTTTTAAATTTAACTCTTAGAGAATGCATCACAAACAATATATTGTATTGTATTTATATTTTGAGTTTCTCATTAATGGTGCCATACACTACATATCATTCTCACAATTGCATTTACACGCAACATTTTATTTTTAAGAGTCATTTAAGAAAATATATGTTGAACCACCTCTTTGCTTCTAACAGCTACATACTTCCATTTTATCAGTAAACAACTATTTTTTTCTTCCAAAAATAATTATTCTTGGCACTTTTAAGCAGTGTTGCAGTGTGCATCCTTATAAATACCTCCTTATTCACATATTTTACTATCTTTCATGGAGATATCAGGAAATGGTATTGCTGGATTTTTTAAACATATATATTTCCTTAACTAGTTTATGCAAATTGTTATCTTAAGTGAATGTACAAATTATTTTCTGTGCAATTGTTTTTCTCCCCTTGGAGAAGTGTAGTAACCTTCTGTCCATAGATTCTTATCAACACATAATATTATAGGACATTTTAATTTTTATTGCTGTGACAGAAATGAAAAAGTAATTCCTTTTAATTTGATTGCCTAGAGTACTGTGGAAGCTGATATTTTACATATTCACTGATCAATCCTATTTCCTCTTCTTGAATTGTCTTGTATATCTTTATCTGTTTTATTTTGGAAGTTTTTCTGACTTATTTGTATGTAACCATTTTACATACACATAGGTGTCCCTATGTAACCATTCTAACACTTTCTTGGTTATATGGTGTACAAATACATCCCAGCATGTGTCTTGTTGTTTAATATGTAGTGAGCACACAGCAGGTTAAAAATTTCCCTTTTATGACTAGTTCCTAGAGATTTTTATTTCTATTTAACAAATAATTTTAATGATTATTAATTTAGTTTTTCTATTTCTTTACAGAGCTAAGTTTAGGTAATATATATATATATACACACACATATATATATATATTTGTCTAGACAGAGTCTCTCTCACTCTCTTGCCTGGGCTAGAGTGCCATGGTGTCAGTCTAGCTCACAGCAACCTCAAATTCCTGGGCTCAGCGATCCTCCTGCCTCAGCCTCTCGAGTAGCTGGGACTACAGGCATGTGCCATCATGCCCTGTGAATTTTTACTAGTTTTACTTGTTTGACTAATTTCTTTATAGTTTTAGTAGAGATGGGGGCTCATCTTGCTCAGGCTGGTCTGGAACTCCTGAGCTCAAGCAATCCTCTCGCCTCAGCCTCCCAGAGTGCTAGGATTATAGGAGTGAGCCACCGCACCCTGCCAAGGTAATATATTTTTAAATAAAATTGTTCCTTCCCTTTAAGTTTTAAAATGTATTGGCTCAAATTGTACATTATATTATTTTAATACATTTTTCAATTTCTACTGTATCTGTAGACATGTCTGGCTTTTAATCTCTCTTACCATTGTTTTTATCGGCTTCCTATTGTTGCTGTAACAAATTCCCACAAACTTGGTGACTTAAAACAACACAAATACATTCTTTTACAATTCTGGAGGTCATAAATCCAATTCAGTTTCACTGGGATAAAATCAAGCTTTCAGCAGGTTGTGAGTTCTTTCTGATAGTTATAGGGAATAATCTGATTTCTTGTCTTTTCCAACTGCAAGGATGTCCTCATTCCCTCATAAAGCTGCTTTTTTTCCCATTCTTACTCTATTGTCTCCCATTTATAAGAAGACTTCTGATTACATTGGGTCTACCTGAATAATCCAGAATAATCTTCCTAATTCAAGATCCTTGAATTAATCACCTCTGCAAAATCCCTTTTGACATACCTTAGTCAGTTGAATGGTGTTCCCATAATTCATATGTTCAATATGATGAATTTTAAGTTGTAAACTACAGTACCGAAGAATCTGACCTTATTGGAAAATAGCATCATTGCCAATATAATTAAATAAATTTAAGTGAATTCACATTTCAGTAAGGTGGGCTCCTAGTCCAATAAGTCTGGTGGTTTTTTTGTAAGGAATTTCATGTGAAGAGACAGAGACACACACACAGGGAAGATGATGGAAAGTGACACAGGGAAGACATGACCATCTACAAACTAAGGAATGCCTGAGACTGTCATAAACTAGGCCTGAAACAAACATTGCCTGTGCCCTAGAGGGAGCGTGGCTCTGCCAACACCTGATTTCAGACCTGTGTTCACTTCAACTGTGAGACAATAAATTTCTGTTGTTCTAAGCCACAAAGTGTGTGGTACTTTGTTACCAGAGCCCCAAGAAACTATTACACCATGTAGGCAATGTACTCACTGACTCTGGACATTATGACATGGACACTTTGGGGGGCCATTATCCAGCTACCACATTGTTTAACTATTAATATTTTCTATTTTTCCATTATCAACATTACAAAATATTTACTTTGTGTAGTTTTTCAAAAATATTTATCATTGGATTTTCCTTTTTATTGCTTAGTTTTATTTCTTATTTCATTAATTTCTGTACTTACATTCATTTTTGGATTGAAGTATAATTTATGCGGTGAAATAAATTAGTCTTAAGCATAGAGTTAGAGGAATTTTGGGAATTGCAAATAGCCTTGTAAACCACACCACTATCAAGGAATAGGACATTTTTTTCTTTCACCCCACCAAAATCCCTTGTGTTCCACCCAGACAATTCCCAACCCACTATGCTGTCTTTCGCCATAAATTAGTTTGTCTGTTTAGAATCTCAAATAAATGGGCTCAAATAATATACACCTTGTACCCCTTTCTGTCTGACAATTTTTGCTAGGAATTACATAATTGATGTTTATTCATATGTATCAGTAGTGTAGGCCATTTTGTTGCCGATTGATATCCCTTTGAATGTATGGAGCACAGTTTATTTAATCTCTTGTGTGTGGACATTTTTTCTAGTTTATGGCTTCTATGAGATAGCTGCTATGAACATTCTTGTACAAGTTTCCTTTTGTGAACAGACATATGTTTTCATTTCCCTTGGGTGAATGCCTAGAAGTGGAGTCATTTGGTCATGGTAGATGTATGTAGAATTTTATGAAAATTTTCCTAAGTGATTGTCCAGTTCCATAGCAATTGCCGATGTATAAGAATCTGGTTCTTTCACTTGCTTACTTTGTATTTTGAAATAATTTTAAATTTACATAGAAGTTGCAAAAAGTGTGCAGAATTTTCTTGCATCTTTACCTTGCTTTCTATGACAGCATGTTACATAACCATAGTTATGTACCATTATCATTATGTGTCAGTATCAAAACCAGAAAGTTAATATTGAGACAATAGTATATATTAGCTACAGACCTCATTCCAATTCACAAGGTTTTACATATAGTCTCTCTTTTGTGTGTGTGTGTAGTATATAATTCTATAAAATTTTATCACAATTTAGGTTTGTATAATCACCACTACAATCAGGATACGGAATTGTTCCATCACCATAAAGAAAAGCCCTGTACACACCCTCCTCAGCCATAACCTCTGGAAACCACTGACAATTTCTGCATCTCTAAAATTTTTGCATTTTGAGGATGTTTTATAAGTGGAATCATACATTATGTAAAAGCTGATATTGACCTTTTCCATTCAACATAACGTCCTTGAGATTCATTCAAGTTGTTGCATGTTATCAATATTCCATTCCCATTTATTTATGAAAAGTATTCCATTGTATGGTGTGCACCAAGTGTATTTATCCAATCGGCCAATGAAGCATGGAGTTGTTGAGATCCATGTGTCACCTATATCACTAATTTATCTCCTTTATCCTGCAATATATATTTTTTTTTGTAATTTTTTCTTTTAAGTGATTATTGGCATGCAATGCAATATATATTGAAATATAAGAACATACCACAATTTGTTTTTCTTTTCACAGATCAATGGACATCTGGGACTCTTATGGATAAGACTGCCAATATGTGTTTCGTTTTATTTATTTATTTTTGAGACAGGGTTTCAACCATGACCAAGGCTAGAATGCAGTGGTGCAATAATAATAAAGTGAGGCTCACTGCAGCCTCAAACCCCTGGGTTCAAGCCATGCTCCCACCTCAGCCTTTTGAGTCGGTAGGACCATAGGCAGGCGACAACACACACAGCTATTTTTAAAAAACTCCGATTTTTATTTTTTGTAGAGAGGAGTTTTTGCTCTGTTGTCCAGGCTGATCTCAACCTCCTGGTCTCAACCAGCCCTCCTGCCTTGGCCTCCCAAAATGCTGAGATTACTGGCACAAGCCACGGTGACCTGTGAATATATGTTTTAATAATATTTTGAATAAACACTTAGGAGAGGAATTTCTGGTCATATGTTGAAAGTAATTTGTAAGAAACTACGAAATGACTTTACAATGTCATACTAATTTGCATTCCACCAGTGATGTATAAGTCTTAGATTCCCCACTACCGGTTGAATGCTTAAAACCATTTCAAAATACTTTAACTATTAATATTATGAAAAATTTGTTACAGTTTGTTCATTTATTAAGCTAAGTTTCTTTTGTTGGCTTTATCAACCACCCTCTCATACAGCTACACTAGTGTTTATACATTTATTTCATCGCCTCTGCATGCAAATGAAAACTAGTCCACACATCTGCCAGCGTAAAACCCACTGCCAGGTTAGAGCCTCAGCTGCAGGTCTGGGTACAGGCTGCAGGTGCATGAGGAGCGCTGTGTGCTTGCTGCACAGAAGTATGTGGCTGAGTCTCCAGGCTGGGAAGGTGTGATATGCAGTGAGAAGTGCTTGGCACTTTTGTTGAGGAAGGCTGTGAATCTTCCATCTTCCTTTTCACTGTCAAATGAACGTATGGCTATCAGTAATGCCGGAGCTTTCCCAGGGAACTGCCGGTACCATGGGAAGTAGTCAAAAGCACTGTTCTCGTAAGTACATTTCAGAATTGAAATACTTCCTTCGTGGACTATCAAAGATTCAGGACTTTGTTTCACCTGCTTCCGGTCACTTTCTGTCTTCTCTTGGCCACTCACCCCTGATTAGAAAGATAAAAAATGTCATTAGGGCCCCCAAATAATATTTCCTTCTTAAAATTTCTATCTGCATCAGTCCTTCTGTACCCCAATTTTCTCATTGACTTAATTTAGCAAAATATCCTGCAGCTTCTCCTCCACAACTCACAGCATAGTTGAAGGCATAGAATTAAAAATGATGCTCCCAAGACTCTGTCCATCCCTCCTGGCACCAGAGCTCAGTGAGAACTCAGGGGATCGTCTCCCCAGCCAGCTGGAACTCTGACTCTGTTCATGCTGGATTTAATTCTGTCAACAAGCCCCGCCCTTTCACAAGTGCTTCCACTTAAAGCCATTTCTGTTACAGGAAGCACTTCCACATTTTGTCCACATTTAGAATTGTTAAAAACACATTCACTGAGAAGCAGAAATCCCCTCCTTACACACAGATAAAGATCAGTTTAAAATTTATCTCCCCCAACCTTCATCTACTCTTTCCTCACACTTTTTACAGTGTCAAAAATCTTACAATAGCACAGCTGAATATATCAGTAGAGATTGCCTTATTTTACACAGTGGAAGAGAGAGACTCCCTTGAAGCCACAGATTAGCATGTGTCGGGCATTTCTTTTCTTATTACAAACATTAATGGTGTTTACTGAAGACACACAGTGGCCATAATATCCCATTGCAAGCTGAGGTCATGGAACATAATATGGACAATATATGGTCCCGTTGTCCTCAGGAAACTTAAATTTTATTACAATCTTTCAGATATGTTCATTCCATATTTTGCATGACCCTAAGAAATGGTAGAAGATAATTAACTCAATTTTAATTTATTTATATTTCTTCTAAAGTATATGACATGTAAATTATATATTTTTTAAGAATATACCTGTGAAAAAAATTAGGTAAAACTAGAATTATCTGTTCTGAAGGAGCTTGGATCTTTAAGTGGATAAGAAAGGATGGAAAAATTTGGCTGAATTCAGAAGATATTGGGCCATTAATAATACAACCTTTTTGGTAGCTCTTATCCTGAGTTTGAACAAATATTCAATGTTTTCTTCACAATTCATCCTCATGGATCCTATATGAAAATGTAAAGAATCAAATTGGCAGGTCACAGAGGTAGAAATTGAAGATACATTCCAAATCATCCCTAAAAATAGGGCTGATCTGTATTGTAAATAATGGAAGTTAAAATAACAGAAGGAGCACATTTTTTTCTGAAGCACCGAGAGGATTTTTTTATATCTATATTTGATGTCACTTCACATACAGTCGAAGGAAAACTCCATCCCAGTATTACAGGAGACAATAGTCTTCCATCTAGAATCTAATTCCTTTGTACTCCAATACCCTAAGGTGATTTTTTTTGATTGTTTAAGTTTTGATGTGTTTTCTTTTTAATCTATTCATTTATTTATTCATGGCTTCAATATATATTTACTGAGTGCCTAGTATAATAAATAGGCAGTACTTAGGTCTCATTCATGCAAGAGCCACATAGTCCCAGTCTTGAGTTAATCTAGTCCCAGTCCTCTAGTACAGCCAAATAAAATCTGCCAGAGAGACCCCTGTGTCTACATGATGTAATAAAGGGAAGAGTGACAAATTGTACATCTGGACCCAGTCAGAGGAGAGTTCAGAAGGAGATGCTTGAACTGGTCCTTAAACTGTGAAAGTTTTCCCAGTGGAAAAAAAAATAGATAAGGGAATTTTAGACATGATTAACTCAGTGTGGCTAGAGGTTGGGTTGTGTATGGGTAAAATCATTATAAATTTATATTAGAGCAATTAATGTGGCCTTGAAGAATAACATGTATCATTCAAACAAGTGTTGACTTCGAAAGTCATATTTTTCAACCATAGCACAGATACTCTTTAGGTAGATGTGTACATTAATACATTACGTGTATGTGTGTGTGTGATACACACATATATACACACATATATATATATAAAATAAATTAGAGCAGAGATTAATTTATTGGACTTTTTAAGGATAATCTCTGGCTACTTGATGAATATGCGTATGTGAGACAAGCTTTAATCTTCTTTGAAACAGCATTGCCCCTTTGTGGTCATGTAGGAAGTTTACACTGAACAATTTTCCAGCTTCTTAAAACTTTGTGCTTAGCAACCCCTGCACCAATCAGAGCACTGAAATAATTGGCTGAGTCTTCCTCTTTAGCTAACGATTTCTTCAGATAGAAGATTGGCTCTTAATGAGATCAGCTATGAAACCTCTGCTAGTCTATGCTGAGGTGTGACTCAGGTGAATCTGGAGGAACAGGTTGGGATGCTTGAGGTACCAGAATAGAATAGGGTTATTCAAATAAGCACAGTGACACCACAACTGCCCTGGTGTTCCTCCAGAGGCAGAAATTCTCCCTCAGACTGAGTCACTGCATGGGATCTTCTTCCTCCCATAAAATCAGCATCAGATCAGGGAGAGCTCTTTGCACTAAAGAGTACAGGGCCTTAAAGAGATTCTAAATTAGATAATTGTACTTCATCTTTGTCAACAGTTAGTATAGTTGTCTTTTTATTTTTAGACAACATAATGACTACGTAGTGGAATCTTGTTGTGGTATTAATTTGCACTTCCCTGGTGATTAATGACATAGCAGTCAGCAGTCTTTTTCCATAAAGGGTCAAATAGTAAATATTTTCAGCCTTACCAGCCAATTTATCTCACTTTCAACTACTCAGCCCTGCCACTGTAGGAGGAAAGAAGCCATTGGTAGTAGATGACCAAATGAGCATTGCTGCATTCCAATAAAGCTGTATAAAATAGGTAGATGGCTGAATTTGGCTCATGAACCACATTTTGTTGATCTCTGACCTGGACTATCTTTTCATGTCTTTGTTATTTATACCTTTTTTTATAATAAAGAGTCTGCTAAAATACTTTGTTCATTTTTAAATTGAGCCATTTATTCTCTTTCATTGAATTCTAAGAGCTCTTTACACATGCCATACACAAGACTTTTGAATCATATATACATTTCAAATAGTATCTTCTAGTTGGTGGCTTGTGTTTCTGTTTTCTTGAAGATGTTTAAGGTCTCTGCACTGAAAAGTCCAAAAACAATGCTGACAAAAATTCGAGAAATTAAAGAATATGTCATGTTCGCAAATTAGGAGACTCAATAGCTTTAAGATGGCAGGTCTAGGGCTCCTTTTTACCTCTCAGCACCCACACAGCTTGCTCATAAGGTAGAGGTTCCATACTGGGAGAGGCCAGCCAAGAAGATCAGAGAATATTGTCCCCACCCAGCACCATACTCACAAAGTAAAGGGGTCACATATAGCTCCAGAGCTGTGGCACAGAAGTTGTGTCCAGGGAGAGAAGCAAGTGTAAGAACACGGAGTTCTCCCTTAGGAAAACTTAATTTGAAACAGAGTACTGGGGACTCTAAGCCTTAAGGATACTATTGAAATGAATGGGGATTTTTGTGGTAAGCAATTAAGAGCAGGCTGGTAGCTCCATGAGAGCAGCAAGCTAAATCACAAACAACTAGCTAAAATATTAATAGGGAGAAACAGGGGGAAAAAAAGAAAAACTAAGAAGAGTCAGGAAGACTCTATAATAAGCCTCAAGGATTGACCTCAAGGATTGGCCGCAAAGATTACCTGTGCAAAGGGACCTAAATTTAACTGGATCAGACCATAGAGGAATTTATGCCCCAGAGTGCTGTTGAAAACATTAGAGCAGTCAGCCACCACCTCCTTATTGGAAGCTCATGACTGAGTATGATACAAAAAGAGGCAAAAAGTTTAACAGAAAAATCAGGGAGAAAGGCAGTAAAAGAGAACCCTGCTAAAAACCACTATCATACCAGGTTATCTGTGTACATACTCAAGAGTGTGTCATCTGAGAAACAACATCATAGGTTGCACTGTGTAGGGGAAATGAACTTAAATGAAACGGTCTATAGTACTAGTTACTAAATGAAAAACAAGTGATATGTTTGGATGTTTGTCTCCCCCATATCTCATATTGAAATTCGATCCTGGCGGGAAGTGTTTGAGTCATGGGGGCAGATCTCTCGTGAATAGTTTGGTGCCCTCCAATGATAGTGAGTGGGTTCTCAGTTTGTTAGTTCATGAGAGAGCTGGTTTAAAGGAGCTCCTCAGAGAGAAGAAATGTGATTATTAGAAGGTAGGAAGAGTTGAGGGACAGGAAGGGTGGAATAGGTTGGTTAATGGATCAAAATTACAGCTAGATAAGAAGAATAAGTTACAGTGTTCCAAAGCACTGTATGTTGAACATAGTTAATAATAATTTACTGTGTATGTTCAAAAAGCTAGAAGAGAGGATTTTGAATATTTTCAACAGAAAGAAATAATAAACGTTTGAGGTGATGGATATCCTAATTACCGTGATTTGATCATTACACATGTTATCAAAATATCACTCTGTATACCATATATATGAATAATTATTGTGTCAGCTAAAGATAAAAGAAAAAATGATACAAAAAATTTAAAAATAAAGATACTTTGGAATATAAAATAAATAAATAAATAAATAACAAAATAAAATAAAGGAGCTCCTCCCTGTCTTGTTCCTGCTCTCACCATGTGACAGGCCTGCTCCCCCTCCACCTTCCACCATAATTGGAGGCTCTCTGAAGCCCTCGCAAGAAGCAGATGCTGGCACAATGCTTCCTGTACAGCCTCCAGAATGAGCCAAATAAACCTCTTTTCTTTATAAATTACCCAAACTTAGGTATTTCCTTTGGAGCAATGTAACACAACAAGCAAACAATATCAAGTCATGGAAGGGCAGGAAATCATATATACAGGTGGTCTACATATATTATTGAGATACCCTGAGTAATGGCTTCCAAAGATGATCAGAATGGTTAATATCTGGTACCTGAAAAAATGTTACCTTATATGGCAAAAATGCAATGGATATGTGATTAATTAAAGAATCTTGGGATGGGGGGATTATTCTGGATTATTTGTGTGGGACTTAAATATAATCACACATGTTCTTATAAGAGGAAAGCAAGGGGAGATTTGACTCCAGAAAAATAAAGACATGTGATGATGGAAACAAAATTTGGAGTGATTCAAGAAAGAGGATTAGCCATGAATTCAGGTGGTCTCCAGAAGCTAGAAAAGGCAAAGGAACAAATTTTCCCCCAGAGCCTCCAGAAGAAAACAGCCCCTCCAATGCCTTGACTGTAGCCCAGTGAAACTAATGTCAGACTTCTTGATTCCAGAACTGTAAGA